AAAAAAAGTTTCCGTCAAGTGAACGTGTCTCCTACACCGAATCAAGTAGTTTCGAGTCCTCATGATTCAATAGCGACAGAAAATCATGATATCGAAGATGTTTTTTCGGATAAGAAAGTTCGAGTTTGTGATGATAGTACAAAAGGTATGGTATATTTTGGGGAAAGTTTTGAGGTTTTTGGTTTGGAGGATTTATTGATGGCGTCCGCGGAGGTGTTGGGGAAAGGTTTAACTGGAACTACTTATAAAGCATATTTGGATAGTGATGTTGAAGTTGTTGTGAAGAGGTTGAGAAATGTTTGTGTATCAGAGGAGGAATTTAGGGCGAAAATGGAGGTATCCGGAGGAATTGGTCATGGGAATTTGGTGCCTCTTAGAGCATATTATTATGGAAGAGAGGAAAAGCTTGTGGTTTATGATTCTATGCCTACAAGCTTGTATGCTGTTTTGCATGGTAAGTATCTTATTATTTTATAATAAACTTTGCCTTATTGTTGTTTTAATAAGAGAAAAGACATAAAGACACCATTAAAGTTATTCTGTATTTGCATTAAAACACCTTAACTTTTAAAGTGTCCTATCACCCCACAGGACTATTTAATTTCTTCGTAAATGGACCATTTTGACCCATTTCCTAGTCTAAGTTGTTACCACGCACATGAGGCGCGTCATGCATTATTTTTACTGCCATGGACCAGTTTAAAGGTGCCATGTGTCATTATTTTTCTTTATTATTAATTATTTTATCAATTTATGTCATCTTCCCCAAATTTAAACCCAAAATAATCATTGTTAGCCCTAATTTTTCAATTTCATAGTTTTTTCCATAGCAAAATCAACGTTGATACTCTTTGTTTGACCACTTCATCATCTTCTCTAAGAAAATAAGACACCACTATAGGCGAGGAACTTCTGGATCAATGAAGAATGTGATTTTCTTGTTCAATAAATTCAAAGTGAACACTTCCAAGCTATGGATGCTCCTGTCTAAGCATCAGAGCTGGCCATAATGGCTGAGAAAAAGATTGTCTGCCACAAGTTGGCCAATGGAACATGATGAACAAGAAAATGGTTAATGGAGGAACTGTTGTCAATTGGATCTGCATTAATTTTTCTTGCAATGTGCAAAAAAGTGTTACGCATAGGTTTTGTTCTGAGTTAGCATAAATGTGTGAGTTATTTAGGTCTGAATTTTGCTACCAAAAGGGTTGCAACTAATAGCAATCCCACATTCAAAATTTTGTTGTCATCTAACTCCATAGCTGAATAAAAAAAAATTCGAATGAAGAAAAATTAACGAAAATTTCTTGAAGGTGCAAGCCAAACAGAGAAGAAAAGAAATAGAGAAGATGATTTCTCTTTAAAGAATAGGGTCGGGTCGGGTCGAATTAGATCATAGGGAGTTGAGCAACACGCGCCACTACATAGACGAGAAAATGGGTCAAAATGGCTCATTTACAAAGAAATTAATTAGTTTTGTGGGGTAATAGGACACTTTAAAAGTTAAGATGTCTTTATGCAAATACGGAACAACTTTGATGGTGTCTGTATGTCTTTTCTCTTTTAATAATAATATTTGCTACTTACTTCTTTATGATAGTTCTAATTAGTTTGTTTTCTCTGGTTTTGGTTGGGGAGTCCATCAAGTTAATTAAAATTCTTAGATAAGATTAAATTATGAGCAAATTTCACATATAGCAAATACAAAATTTATATTTGTATGTTATAGTAAAGTTTGCATAATTGCGCTCCACAACAAATATAAATATATATAATTCATTACATATATACAAAAGAAACTAATTGTATGATTCGTTGTACACGTACAAAAGAAAGCAGTTGTATACAAATCAATTGTATAATTTGCGTATGTATAAAATGAGAAAGAGAGAAAGAAAAAAGAAAATTGGACAGAGAAATATTTGTATTGTATAATTATAAGTGTATAGGACGAAAATATATGATTTGCATGTGTATATATGATTTCCTCTTGCTTCATACAAACAGAAACACAATTTATACATTTCGTTTACGTTTGTATAAGTGACAGAGGCGAGGGTGGCGAGCTAGATCTGAGAGAGTAGCGAGTGAGATTTGGGAGAGAGGAACGAAAATATATGTATATATACAATTGTTTCTCGTTTTACACAAATACAAATACATTTTATACATTTTGTGTTTGTATAAAAGTGAGAGGGAGCGGGCGAGAGATGAAGCGAGAAAGGGAGAATAGCGAGCGAGAGTTTGAGGGAGAGAGGGGACTGACAAAGAGTTTGCTACTAGGCACAATTAAATCAAAATGTAGTTATAACATTTAATTTGATTTATTAGTTTGTCATTATATACAATTTTCTCTTAAATTATCTTCTAGTTAATTGATTTTTAGCTTTAGCTATGAAAACTGAATTTATGTGGAAGAGATGGTATGAAAACAGGGGAAAGGAAGAAGACCATTTGGTAGTTCTCTTTTACATTAGTTACTTATCATCAAATCCACTGTTGCTATAGGCTAAGCCACATTTACAAAGAGTGTTAAAATGTAATTGTCATTGGTAATTGCCTCTAAAAAGTATACTTAGTGGCAATTAAGCTATTACGACTAAAGATCATGTGTGATATACTTAGTACCAATTAAACTCGTGTTCACATCATAACTAATGAAGGACCCATGTAATATATATTATAGAGAAAGGAACATACAACAAGAACTTTAGAACCATTTCTGTGTAGAGGGACAGCCTCTTTAATTAGTTGAATAGGTCTTCTATCAACTTACATTCTATTAAATGTTATTTGGTATTCTTACCAATTACTATTACTATGAGTTTAATTTTGACCTATTCGATTTTGTTAGGCGAAGGAGTTTCAAAAGAAGCATTGACATGGGTGATACGGAGCAGAATTGCATTAGGAGTTGCCAATGGTATCGAATATCTCCATTCACTTGGCCCTAAAGTCACTCATGGCAACATCAAGTCATCTAACATCCTCCTCACACACTACTACGATGCATATCTATCTGAATTTGGCATAACACAGTTGATTTCCTCAACGTCAAACTCCAAAATGTCTGGATATTATGCGCCTGAGGTGACAGATATTCGAAATGTTTCTCAGAAAGCTGATGTCTATAGCTTTGGCACTGTTCTCTTGGAACTCTTAACGGGTAAAAATCCTAGTAGTGTCATCAACGACGAGGGAATTGACCTGCCTAAATGGGTGAAATGTATAGTTCAAGAGAGGGGGACAACACAAGTGTTTGATCCTGAGTTGATTCGATTTCAGAATTGTGATGAAGAGCAAATGGTTTCATTGCTGCATCTTGCTATTTCTTGTACATCCCAGCACCCGGAAAGGAGGCCGCCTATGGCTGACACTACCAGGAGGATTAAAGAAATTGTTATGTGAGTTTTGTTAATGTTTGATCTTTTTTGTCCAAATAAAGGTGAAGATCATAGTTTTATTCATATCTCGATTCAGCAGCAGGGTGAATTTATAGCTTAAAAATGAACACCTGAATCAATAGTCTCTCTGTAAAACTAGATATTTTATGTATATATATATTTTTAAGTAGTTATTACCATATTCTCGAAATCCTAAATTTGCCTCATGAAATCCATTACTTCATTGAAAAAACAAAGTAATGGGTTTCACTTGGCAAAATAATGTGATTTGAAATCTTGAAGTTGTTGTTTGAAAATGAAAAGAAAGGGCTTTAAAGAGGATCCGTATACCTCTTTAAAGCCCTTTCTTTTCATTTTGAAACAACCGCTTCAAGATTTCAAATCATATATCTTATTTTTCAACTATGGTTAGATAATTTGAATCCCATCAATGAAAACAAACAGAGTAACTGCCAGTAGTTTCTTTGTTTGTTTTTTCCTAGCGATTATTCATGTTCTCAAAGCTCATGGTTGTATTATTGTGCGTCTGTGTGGTAACTTTGTCGATTGGAATGTCGTAATAATTAGTCGATTTGTACAATGTCTGATCACCATTTCTAAAATTAGCCCAATTGCCATTTTTGTCTAAAGCAACTTCAACAGCTCAATTTCACATTTAAGACGATGGGCATGTCGACCCAAACGTTGTACATAGATATTCACATACTCAAACCATTGCAGTCACACTGCTGTTGGATTTTATTTTCCCTAAATTTCTTACCATAAATAAATTTTACTTTTAGGAAAATATTTTGAATTAACTAATATTTTTTCTAATAGGAAAAGGTTTAGGACTCTATAAATAGAGACATGTACCTTCTAACTTAACCAACATTCACAATTTAAAAGCTATGAGAGTTTTGGTTAGGGAGAAAATTTATGGATCATAAGTTCGATACGTTATCACTTGTGTAAACCTCCCATGTATTCCGAGTGAATTGGTTGAAGTTGTTTCTCTCTGTATTTTGTTGATTGACCGAACCACATTAAATCTTTGTGTCTTTTGAAATATTTCTCGTTGTCTTCTTACTCGTGGTCTTTCGAGATTTGTTTTACTAGATTCCGCATTTACACCTGTTTATTTTCGATTCTAACAACCGATTGTACACAGAGATGCACATCTCTCTGTGTGCACTTATGCAAGGTTGATCATGCTTGAAGGCAAGCGTGTTCGAAAAACAACAGAATGATGCATAACCCTAGTTCCTGGCAAAGGTGAATCGGATCTATTAAGGCTCGTGGAGGTGCCATGCCACATGCAAGCTTCCACGACACTCTTATGTATATATATATACAACATGCATAAAAATAACAAACGGGCCACCCAAAGAACCAAAGTACTCTGCTGTACCAGTGTCAAAGGGACTTGGATATCAAGTATAATGAACCTAAAACCACTTGACCAAATTAGTGTCTATTGTAACAATCTATCCACAACTCAATCATGTCCCTTTTGGTTAGTTATTCAACACTTACCAAAATGAACAAAACTACTCTAGGGATGAAGCTCATGAGAATATGATCTTCGTACATTTTTAATATGCATTCAACCAACTGTTCATCACTCAAATCTCGTCTATTCGACATTGATGATCTTTAGTGGATTCAAGGATTGCGTAACAACATGATGCAAGATATGAGTTGTATACAAACATAGAACTCCAATTGAACATGATATTTATAGCACCTGTACAAGATATGAAAATATACAAAAAGGCAATGACATGACACAAATTATCAACAAATTCGAAAACAGAGCACCTGGCAATCAGGGAGATCATTTACCATCAGGTCACTAAATATGAGGTGAAGCAAGGCTCTCTAAGTAGGTAGTCACTTGAACTTGAAGAAAATCATCCATAGACACATAATCGGCAATTCGCTTGAATGATGCATTCCTTGAATTGTACAGTGTCACCTCTGTGCCAAGCTTCACCAGAACCTCATCACCATTCTCTGCCACAAACAACGGCGAGATACTAACTCTACGATCATCCGGTGATGAAATGGTAACCACTTTAGTCCATGTTTTCTCTACACCATATTCCTTCAACACCCACATATCTGCCTTATCTGATTCATAATTGCAACAAGCAACTAAACGCCCTCTCGATTCACCTAATGTCCAATGAATACCTCCACCTTCATACCTAGGCAGAGCTATCCTCCCATATCTCTCTTTAGCCAAATCCAACGTAACAATCTCCGACGAAACACCACCCGAAACATAATCATAACATCCTTCCCAATGAAGAACCCCATTGGCAAACACAGCAACATTTCCATTTACATGACCACTATCAAAACCCTGAATACTTGACCAAGAACTACCCTTTAAGCTATAAACACTAACCATATTAACATGTCTTCCCTCATTATCGATTCGAGGAAAACTAAACATCTTAACAACCTTATAATCATCCGTAGATGCGTCATAACCAAACCCATATCGAATATGCACACCACCATCACCAACTTCATACTCAATCATCAAATCAGGAAATAAACTAAACTTTCCAGTACACGGGTTCAATAACATTAAATTAAAGGAATCAGAAGTTAAGCAAATTAACCCATTACAAGACCCCAAAATCCAAGCCGAGAGAGACAGAGTCTTAGAAGGACACCCATGTTTAGACACAATAACAGATGAATTTTCAGAGCTTATAGTGTAGACATGACAAATTTTGCCCAAACCAGAAAGAGTGGGTATAGCAGCAAGGGTGTAGTCGGTAAATTTGGGATTGTTCGTAGAAAAACTGATATGGGTTTTATGGAATTGTGCATCTGAGAGTAAATAAAGCCATGATTTGGAAACAGACCTGAATTTCAAGAGAGTTTTGAGAGGTAACCTGATGAGAATTTCAATGATGATGTCTTGAGGAAGAGTTGGTATTTCTTTCATCTTCATTTTTGAAAAATATATATGTATTGCAACAGAAAAAGTAGCTTTTAGAAAGAAGAAGATAGTGAGAGGAGTTAAAGAGAGAATATGTGAAAGTAAAATGATGTCATCTCAATTGTGATTTGTAGCCAACCAACCTTACACGCTACTCTTTATTTTTGCGTGTTACGTTTTGGTTCAGTTTGTCTTGTACCTAAATAAGCCGCCTCAATATTGCCATTGTTTCTGCCAACACTAGATGGATAGACTTCATGTGAGTATTATTTTTTCTGATAATAATAATTATTAAAAGAGAGAGACATTAGAAGTAACGATTTACGTTTATGTCAATTTGTTTCTCTCAATTTATCAATTTGTATAGAAAAAATAATTAAATTTTGAACTTTCAGTTTAAATCCTTACAAAAACCTTTCTAATCTATATTAAGTCACTTTAAAATTATTTTATTATATATTAAAACTTAAAACACTTTTTTTATATTTGACATAATACATAAATGTGCCCTTTAACTTGATTTCGAATTACATTTATGTCATTCAATTTTAAATGTGCACAAGTAGACGTTTAAACTTATATAAAATTGAACAAATAAATACATATGTCTTACATGTCATATTTTTTCCTACGTGTATTGTGTCATGTAGAACTCACGTGTTTATTTCTTTAAAAATTGAATAATTTTCTTAAAGTATCTGTTTGTATATTATTATAAAAACTGAAAATTAAAATTTAAAATCTAATATATATATTATTTCTTTATATTTTTGAGGTGAGAGTGTTGAGAACCTCATCGTGTGTTTACTTGTGGCTTATTTTTATTTGAATGACACGCGGTGGATTTGCAGGTTTTGCTTGTGCGGGTTCCACGTTAGGTGTCAAAATAGATTTTGAGGCTACTATACTATGTAGTAGAATACAATACAATATTGAACTTGAATTCGTAGCCCACAGATTTGAGCAAAAAAGCTCCTAAAAATCGTTATGTTGCACAAATCTTCTTTTCTTTACATTCACGTTGACTAATCCCTAAAATCATGCAGATGCACAGGGAAAATTTATTTGTCATAAAATAAATAGAAAGGGTCTAAAATATTTTAAAGTATTAAAAATGGTATAAAATTATTATTTATTTATTTATTTATTGGTTTTAAAATATCTTTTTCATTCGCTTCAAAATATTCTTGTCATTCACTTTTGGGTTCAAAATTGACCACTTATTTAACGGTTTTCAAATTAAATTGTTTAAATATTTATTAAAATACTTGGCGCTCAACTATTGGTTATAATTTAATTTATTAATATAATTTTTAATCTAACTTACTACCCATCCATTGCTAACTAAACCGCACCCATTAATAAATCAACTATAATATCAAAATCGCCATAAACACTATTGAAACACGACAAAATTATAGATTCCTGAAAATGACATTCAAAATTATTCGAGTCCGAATCAAAGCCACAATTAAATTTAAGTTGGACAGCTTATTTAGGAGGATATTTTCAATAGGATTCTTTTTTAATTCGAAATTTATGATTAAAAGGTAAATAAGTAGTACTTCCGAATTAATTCATGCATTTTTTAATATAACTTTATAAACATTTTTGATTAGTTTTATAACCTTTAGTATATTATTTCAAAAAAAAGTTATCTATGAAGTAACATCACATAATTGAGATGAAAGAATAATTAAGATGAACATAGTCAGACTTTTAAGTTTGTCGGTAATTTTTATTTAAACACTTGAATGTATGATAATTTACTTCTATAGATATTTTCACCTCAAATTTTTAAAAACACTCATTGGGAGTAGCTTTCTTATTATTGCATTAGTAATGTGACGGGTTTATTAAGTTTATGGGGTTTAATTAGTAATAAGTGGGCAGTGGATTGATTTATAAAGGGCAACTTTCACATATAACAAACAAAAAATTTATATTTGTATGTTATAGCAAACTTTGCATAATTGCGCTCCATAGCAAACATAAAACTGTATAATTTGCTATACATATACAATTGTATAATTCGCTGGCCTGAATTGTATA